CTCCAGGGGGGGGGCCAGCCACAACTTCTCTGGGCAACCTGTGCCAGTGCGTCACCACCCTCAGAGGGAAGAATTTCTTCCTTAGATCTCATCGAAATCTCCCCTCTTTCAGTTTAAAGCCATTGCCCCGTGTCCTGTCACTACATACCCTTGTCCAAAGCCCCTCTCCAGCTTTCTTGTAGCCCCTTTAGGGACTGGAAGGCTGCTCGAAGGTCTCCCTGGAGCCTTCTCTTCTCCAGGCTGAACAGCCCCAACTTTCTCAGCCTTTCTCCATAGCAGAGGTGCTCCAGCCCTTGGATTATCTTTGTGGCCTCCTCTGGACCCACTCCAGCAGCTCCATGTCCTTCTGATGTTGGGGACTCCAGAGCTGAATGCAGCACTGCAGGGGGGTCACCTGAGAGCAGAGCAGAGGGGCAGAATCCCCTCCCTTGACCTGCTGCCCACGCTGCTTTGGATGCGTCCCAGGACACGGTTGGCTTTCTGGGCTGCCAGCGCACGGTGCCTGCTCATGGTGAGCTTCTCATCAACCAACACTCCCAAGTCCTTTTCCTCAGGGCTGCTCTCAATCCATTCTCCGCCCAGCCTGTACTTGTGCTTGGGATTGCCCCAGCCCATGTGCAGGACCTTGCCCTTGGCCTTGTTGAACTTCATGAGCTTGGTACAGGCCCGCCTCTCCAGCCCATCAAGGTCCCATGAGACAAGAAAAGATGCTCTCAGCTCCCAAGAGCCCCCACGCTGGGCCAGGGGGTCCGTGCCCTGGATTGCCGAGGGAGGAGAAGGGGCTGGAGCTTCTGCTCCTTTTGGATTCTTAGTGCCTACGGGCTTTAGACTGAGCTCAATTCTGCTTACGTTAAAAGCTCAAGAGTGTCCAAGTGACACGTGAAGTCTAAGGGGGCAATTTGCAAAGTGACTTTTCACACTGAACCTCAGATTGATTAAAGCCTTATCCCTCTGAAAATTCAAATACTGGGTAAAAAGGTCTGATTTACAGCAAGAGACCAGGCACCACGGCAGTCAGGGTGGCCGATTCATTTCTTTATCTTCAAAGCACTTCAATGCTTCCACGGACACACTAACATGCAAGAGTTTAGATCAGGAACCAATCCATGCTCACCAAAAATGAAAGCCACAGCATTTTCTTCAATTAGCTCGTAGAAAGTACTTCCTCATTTCAAGACTCCAGCACTGACATTTTAAATGACATTTAGGATTTTTCAAATGCAAGAAAATTATCTTTAGAAATCAGCTCCAAATGCAAGTTTTTCTGTTTAGGGACAGAACATACTGCAATGCTTTAGGGGATAGTTTGTGTTTCTCCTGCTGCACCATTAGAAATACATTACGGATGTCAACAGCTGATTACTCTGACAACTACCCCAACTTTCCAAAGGAAGGACTCAAAAGGAGGAAGGCATGACATTTTTTCTCCTAAAATCACAAATTAAAAAGGTGGGAATGAATCCTCATGGGTGGATTTACTCTTAGTCGCCTTTGAGGTCTTTTCAGTGACTCCCTGGCACACCGTGAAAGAGCAGTGGAAAAGGAAAAAAGAAAGGTTAAAAAAAAAATAAAAATCATCCTGGCAGACCATGTAACACTCAAAGAGATCACTTAATTTCTACTCAGGGTTTTTATTAGAAAGTGAAAGTTTAACCATATATTTTTAGAGCATCTTGGCAAAAGTGGGAATGCATCTTAACGAAACTGGGAATAACTGGCGCAGCAGGTACTGTGAGCTCGGCTGAGCCCAGCCTATGCTGCGGCCAACAGCCGGATATTGCGGGTGAAGGTGTTGCGCATCCCCATGCACTTCTCCTGGTCAATGAAGAGCGAGTTGGCTTTGACATCCAGGTCGTTCTGCAAGAGCGACTTGGCACGAAGCAGCATCTGCAGCGCGTCCTCGTTTTCCTGCAGATGCTGCTGAAGGCTCTGGATCATCTCATGGATTTTGTGGACCTCGTTGACAAGGCTGGAAAACAGCAAGAAATCCCCGTTAACAGTCCCATCCCAGGGTGGTTTCTGGCGTGGCTTTGCCGACGGGTCCCTTGGGTGCAGGATTTCCCCCTTCAGCGTGCTCAGACTGGCTTGGACCCCCGGTTTCTGGCGGATGCATGGAAAAGCTGAGGGCAGAGCTCCTCCGGCCCGCGGCGGGGAGGCACGGATAGGTCTGCTCTAAGGCTTTGGCGATGCCCAGCCACATCTCCCAGAGCAGCTCGTGCCACCGAGAAGAGGGACGGGCAGCTGTGGTTTCCTGTTCCCGTTTGGTTTTGCGGGTTTGTTGGTTCACCCTTCTGGGTTTCCCTGCACAAGGGTCCTCCCTGCACCCTCGGAGGCACCCACGGCAAAACAGGACAGGTAGGAGAGGCTAAAAGCGAATGTGAAACAAGTGGAGGATGAGGAAAAAGCAACAGAGTGCGAGGTGCTGAACAGGCTCAGGGGCTGGGTTTAAATTGCTTTTAAAAGGCTTCACACGAGCCGTGCCCAGGGGGCTCCCAGGAGGAGAGGAACCCTCCTGTGTCCTTGAAAGGATCTCCAGTGTCCCCAGGGAGGGGAGGACAGACCTTACTGCTTCTCCATCTGGTGCACCCTTTCTTGCAGTTACCCAAAAGGAAGGAGCTAAGCCTTCTCAGCGCAAGCCTGTTGGAGAGCAAAGGGCTCATCCTTCAAAATTGGGCACATCCAGCTGCTGGGAAGCAGGCAGGAGAGAAGCTGAAGTTTACCCAAGCAGGAAAAATCCAGCCCCTTGCAGGGTGGCATCAGGCTATGCCCGGCCACAGCGTTACAGCCTCCTTCGTGGGTGCAGGGCTCTCCCAGCACCCGAAGGCTGGGATACACAACCATGGCTTTTGATTGTATCGTTGCACTTAGGGAAGGACTATGTAGGAAAAAAGTGATTAATTTTGTCATCCAGTGATGCTCTTGAGTGCTACCACCGGGGACTCCCCAAGGACCCTGCTCCTGCCGTACCCGAGCTGGGCAGCATCCCGGCACAGCTCCCAGTTTGGTCTCCTCCTGCGCTCATCCAGCCTGGTCTGAGCCACTTTTAAGAGAGGCTCTTTCTCCCTAATGGCTTCTCGGATGGCTTCTAGGTTCATCTCAGTCTGGAAAATTTCTTGCAGTGTCTGGCGTGAAAAAGAAACACATGCATAAATTAAAAAAAATATATTCTCAAGTGACCACATAATTTCCCTTTTCTCCTGTCCATCTGCAGAAAAAAACAAGTTCAATAAAGCAGACTCTGGGATCAGACCACTGTTGCTCTGCCACATATGGAGGCATAGATCAAGCAGAGATTTCTCTTCAGGGAAAAACCACTCTTTGCTGTCGCTGTCACATCAGAGGAGGTTTTGGAGCAGTGATGGATCTGTTGAATTACCAACTTCTCAAAATTACTGCTTGGAGGAACTGATCGTCCATCGACAGCAACTAACAGAGGGGAGATTTTTAATGGATCTTCATTTAAGGCCGTGGCATCAGCCCGCAGTGCTGCAAGCCCAGTCTCTGCTCAGTTAATCAATACTGTGTTGAGCACTTTTCAGGAAGCTTTCCATGAGCCTCACTGGTCTGAGCCAGGTGCCCATCACTGATCTCCATTTCCTCTGCTTGGCAGAGCGATTGCACGGATACCTGTGCAGCCAACACAGAGCACTGACACTGAAAGTAGGTCCTTGGAGGAGAAGTGAGCCCGTGAACCCCCCAACAGGCACCCCAGCAGAGGCCCAGCAAAGACTTTCTGAAGTAACTACCAGGAGATGCAGTCAGCATTGGCGTTTTCCTCTGAAAATCCGTGGGCTGTCAGCTAGGATGTGCTAGCAAAATACAGATTTTATTCTAATTAATTATATTAATCTAATCCTTCAGATTAAATTAGTGCCAGTTCATCCTGCTCCAAGAAATTCCCCAGTACTTTGAATTTCAAACATAAAATGATATTATAACCAGCTTCTTGTGGCCACCGTTCCTCTGCTTGGGCCAGGTCTGCAGGGAAGGTCCAGTTTTGGAGGCATCACTGGGAAGTGATGGTGTCACACTGAAAGGGAGGGTTCAGCCTACCTTGGCCAGGTGGGTCTGGATCTTGCCCTTGGCATCACCTGTCTCAATGATGCGGTTGGTGAAGGCAACGTTCACCTCGTTGAACTGGGATGACATCTTGTCAGCCAACATCGACAGCAGGCTTCTGATTTTGTCCCGCAGCTTGGTGGAGGTCGCCCGTTCTCTCTGGCAGTGGAGGATGTTGTTGTCCGTGAACATGGCCCACGACTCCGGCTCCGAGACCCTGGGCACGGGAAAAGGAGAGGCCTGTGGTGAGCCCGTGCTGCTGAAGCTGGACGTGGGGAGCAGCGTGGATTAAACGTACATTAAATCTACGCTCTTAATTTGACCGCGTGAAAGTGAAACATCCGGGCACCATTTGTTGAATAACACTTATCAAATGATGGCACGTTCATGAAGACAACTGCGGTACTTATGAACGCTCAGATGAACAAAGGATTTCCCTGGAAAAACAGATTTGAATCCAACCTCATGTTGACATGTTCGAGGCGCGGAAGTGCCGAGCGACTCACAGCCTCACCCCAACGCCCAGGTCACGGGCGATGCCTTTTGCTCATAACTCGTCCCCGTTCCCTGCTCAGCTGAACGAGCATTAGACAATATTCGATTCCCCGTCTGCGCGCTCGGGATGAAGCCCACGCCTGTGCAGCCGTCCAGAACAAGGTCAACAAAAGGCTTCAATACCACATAAGCTCTGTTTGAAACATGCTGATCCTCGGCACATTTCACCCCCCTCTGAATTTTAGCGTCAACCCTTTGCAATTCAGTTGCCTGTCTAAATATGTCTGAGCTCTACTGTGAGTAATTATTCAAATGTTAGAAAAATCGAATCAATCTATGCCCCCCCCTAAACTGCATGCATCTGGGGGAGCAGCAGATTTATTCCCTCAGCCCTTTGCCACTTGGGGCATCTCTGTGAGCGCTGGTTTAGGTCACCATTCATTTGCTGTAGAGCCAAAGCCAAATTCTTGGCACCCAGAAGCAGCTGAACTCTATCCCAGCACCGTGCTCTCTATTTCTTTATCTTCTGTGTCATGTCGGCACCCTGCCAGGCCCCCTCCACGCCGGGGCGAATCCCCCTGACTTTACGCCAATGAAGAGCACTCAGGCGAGCGCTGACACATCTTTGAAAATATGCATAAACTTAACGAGCCAGGCAGAGGTGCCGAACTGAACTCATTTTCAGGCTGATCTCTCAAACTGGATATAATGGTTAATTAGGTGGGACTCGCTTTCGCCCTCTGGATGTTTGGCATCCAGCTGAAAGCAGAGGGTTGAGCTCCCTTGATGGCGAGCAGAAAGAAACGGTCCCTCCAAGGTGGGATGGAGATGCCATGCAGAGACACGTAGGTTAGGGACAACCAGGTCCCTGCCAGGGAGAGGCACCGTGCATCCCAGGGATGGCTCGCTGCTCGCATTCATCCTGGTGTGCACTCACGTGGCATCAATCCGCTCCACCCCTTGGTAGTAGTTGATGCCGTTGGAGGTGTTCCGCAGGCGGTAGCACTTGTCATCGATGCGGTGGGCCACTCGCTTGTCGGCCAGGTCCCTCTCCAGCTTGTGCTGGGCCTCCCTGTTTGACCTTCAACACACAAACAGCCGCCATCACTGGGAGGTCTCCTCGCCATCCCTCTTCCACGCACCTCCCGCCCGGACAGCCACGTGCCCCCGCGAGCGCCACTGCCTGTTTCCCGTGGAGGGGTGTGGGTAGAGGGGGGGTGTGGGCAGCGGTTTGGTAGGGCTGGGTGTTCACGTTACAACTGCAATGGCACGTCGGCCCCGCAGACAATGAGCTGCTCCTTACGCGAGCTGCGCTTTCGCCTTATCCACGTACTGCTGCATCGTCTCTTGGCAGGACCTGACGACGTCGACTTCCTGGGTGAAGGCAAAGCATGACCTCATCAGCGTCTGTACTCCATTGCCCACGTCACGCTCATCCCCTCCAGCCTCTCCGACCCTGCGCACAGCAGGAACTTGTCTTTCTGCCCAAAGCGAATGGGTGGGGAGTGGAGAAGGTGCCCCCCGAGCACAGCACGCTTGCTCGCGCTGCGACCGGGTGAGGACAGGAGGGTGCTGCGGCCGCAGCCATGGCCTTTGGATTCACTTTCAGGGTGGGCTGAGAAACGTTCTTTCATCTTGATGTCAGTGTCAAGTGCTGGTTAGTTCCACTGTGTGGCCAGGGACAGATCCTGACCTGGTATGAACAGGCACAGTGGACCAGCAATGCTACACACCCCCATCCCCAAATCAGCATCTGCCCTTTTTTGCTCCCAAAATGGTTTCTCTCCCCCAGGAGAAATCCCATACATATGGGAAAAGAGGAGACGGCCTTTACTTTGGGGTAAATCCCCAGTCATTTTGAAGAAACAGAATGTTTCAGCTCCACTGGAGGAAGGTGTGTGTTGTTCTCAGCTCTCTCGAGTTCAGCACAAATCCGTTGCGTTTGGGAAACCCCAGCTATGGGAGGCAGGTGACCAGTGCTCCATAACCAGTAATTTTTAAGCCCTCCTGCCCGCAGGAACCAGCTAAAAAGCACGGCCTCAATACATCCCAAACACTTAAAATCCAAAATGCCGTTACAGAGATACCAGTTCCGATTATTTTCCTAAAACCTCACAACCTTTACACTAATCTTTTAATTTTTAGGGCCTGATTCATCAGAGAAAAGCTTCTAACAGAGCGGTGGCTTCACAGTCCCAGGGGCTGCGATTCCCTTCCCAGTTTCCCGATGCCTTCACAGTGGTTGTGTATGGCTGTACCCTGCCTTAGGGTCACGTCTTCTCCACCAACTCTGGTTGTGTTGGTGTTTTCTTCGGAATTTAAAGCAGACTAGATAAAGGCAGGCGGGGGTGCACGTTTTTATGATTTCGATAAAATCATAAAACCTCGCCCAAGTGCATGCAGCGGCAGTCCTACCGCGGCCACGCAGCGCTGGGGCAGATGGGTTTTTATTAGACCAAGTGATATAGTTGGGAAAACCAGGGAAGCTGTCGGGCACACGCTGCCTTCTCCATATCTGCACGTGATCTATATATAGATATATGTATGTGATAGATACGGCTATATCGTATGTATGTGATATAGATACCTATAGATCCCACTCCGACAGGGCTCCGAAGGGCAAAACGGTCTCACAAACTGCTTGAAGAGGGACCACAGACCCCGACATGCCACACAATCACACGGCTGATTTTGGCCATTCCTTCCTCTGCAAGGGCAAGTCTTACCCACACCACGTGGGCATGCTGCTGCGGGGCAGGACACCATCCCCTGCCCCAGCAGGTTTTGGGGGGCTGAAGAGTTTAACACCTCCCCAGCACTAAGGAGCCGGTTAAGGAACAGGGCTGCAAAACCTGTTTAGGGTAGTTTTAGGTAAAAATAGCTTTAACACACGATCTGAGATGCCAAACTCACAGTGAGGAGCTGTTCCTCCACGTCGTCGTAGACTAGGTCGATGCCCATCCTCTTCTCACGGTGAAACAGGCACTCCTGAGCAATCTGTTGGGGATAAGCCATCACTGTTGGCTGCAGGGACAGGGTTCCCTATAGGGACACAGTCCCTATCTCAAGAAAAGAAATTATAGGTGGGCACAGAGATGACAGCAGGGGAAAAAAGTGCCCAGGGCAGCTGGTTTAGCTGACAACAAGCAGCTGAGCTGCAATGTCAGCGGTAAATCAACATGAGGGAGCACACGTGTCCCTGAACGTGGGGACCCGTGTCAGGCTCAACGCTGACCTCGCCACAGCCTCGTAGTAAGACATGGGCTTTTGTCTCCCAAACGAGGATTTTTACGTACCGCTTATAAAAATATTTGGTTAAGCAAATGCTGTTCTGATGTGCTCAGCATGTGCTGATAGGAGAGGCAGCAGATGGCAAGGGATTTGTTTATTACTAACTTAACTAATGTTCTCTTAATAAAAACTTTCTAGATGTTACGGAGCTGCAATGAAACTTAATTAGACGTTTGAACGGCTGCAGATGTTTCAGCACTGGCCTACAGCCTGCAGCCCGCGGGACAGGGAGCTTACCCGGAGATGGACCTCTGTGTCAGCCAAGGTTTTCTCCAGTTCTTCCTTCCAGCCTGCAAGTGCTTTGGTCTCCTTGATCATCTCATCCAGCTCATGGCTGAGCTCCGACTTCCAAAATTCTATATCCTTGACACGTTCTCCCAGATTTTTGGTGCTTTCTGCTTGGGTTTTCCTTGTCTGCTGATATCTATCCTGAATCAAGCGGGAGCTATCGACTCTCAGACGCTCCGCATTGCGCCAGGAAGTCTCCGACTCTCTGCAGTTGGTCAGGTTGGACCTGTACCAGTCCTCAACGGTGTACCGGTTGAAGAGGCTTCTTTTGGTGGAAATAGAAGGAAGCCCCTGGCTGGGGGCTGACTCCTGGGAGATTTTAGGAAAAGAAGCCAAGACTGGGCTGATGGCAGGTGGTTTATAGTAGAGGCGGTGGCCACAGCTCTGAGGAAAGGAGTAGTAAGGAATACGGTTCTTGTAGCCTGAAGCCTTGGTGCTCGTGGCAGGAGGAAAGCTGATAGGTGTTGATCTTAGATTGGCATACTTTCCTGCGGAAGGAGCACCAAGCAGCTCCATTCTTGAACGCTATTATTCAGGTGTGTGTCCTACACAAAGGAGAGCGAAGAAGACAACCTCACTCAGCAAGCTCCTGCACTCACATTACTTCTTGCAGCAACACACAGAGCGATGCACAAAGCACCCACACATCGCCTGAGCCAGCCTAAAACTCTCAAAAGCAAATCCCTTCTGACAGCATCCCAAGCATTTGTGTATATAAGGATTTGACTTTGTGGTTAGTATCTACTGTCAGGTCTTGAAACACGGAGAGAAACAAATCCTGGCTGCTAAGGAGAATGGCAGACATTGTGCCTTCATTTTCCTTAAATCTGTCAATCCAGTGACACTGTAGTTGCTGTTCATTTGTTTCTTTCGGCCAGTGTATCTGCTGATCTTATAGTACTCCAGATGTAATTTTCCCTTTAAAAGTTCCACTAGGAGCCCCGATAGCTTTGGACACACAGCTGCCACCAACCCCACGCCATTTGTGGGCAAGGGACTCCATCCTCATCATCTCTATCGATACTTGCGTTAAATGCTCGAGTGAGGAGTCTGTCGGTGAGCTGACCTTTGCAGGGCTGTATCCAAATTCGAAAAAAGAACCAAAACAGCACCTATTTCAACCTAAAAAGAACAGCCATCTCTTGACTTGCAAAGGCATAAAAATGTCTATGGCTTATGTGATATAAAATAAAAGATCTTGGAAAGGAGATATCCCAAGAAGTCTTTTCAGAGCATCTCATAAACACCAGCCTTGCAGTAGCCCTAGGAGGAATAGCCATGCAGAGATTTGGCTACCAATAACTGCATACGGCACTGTGGGTGCTATCGCTCTTTTCAGATTGAGGTTATCAAACAATTATTATCAGAAATATAACGTAGAGAGCCACCAAATGCACCCAATCGAACTAATCCAAGAACAAACACTCAGGAGGGTATGTCATGCTCGGTATGAAGTTCTTGTGTGGTTCCAGGTGTCACCCATGGGCAGAAGATGTCCCTACAGCTGTTGTTGCCAGCTGCTAGGGGTGTCCTTCCCCTAACACCGTCCTGTCCCCACAGTCCCCAGCCTGGCTCAGAGCCCCAGTGGAAGATGAGGACGCTGATGTGCTACAAGAAGATCCCTGTACGGGATGGGGGTTTGACTAGAAGCACGTGATAACTCCTACAACATGAAATCAACTTCCATTCCTTTAAAAATGAGATGTTTGCATAAACCAAACTCACTTTTATTCTAGAACAAAGCATCCACAGAAGCGATGACATGACCAGAGGTTTAATTGCTCCTCCTGGGCTACCCTGACCACTTTGCAGGTGCAGGTGAGCTGAGAGATTTTATTTTTAAAATCACAAAACTCTTAGGAGAGAGCGTTTCTTGCATTTCAGTCATCTCTGCAGCAAAGAATGCCTGCTCCTGCACAAGGGCAGGACCAAGGCTCACGCTTTCCTACTGGGAAGCTTGCAAGGTGGTACTGGGAGGCACGGAGAGACAGGCAGGCTCAGCCCCAGAGCTGCTGTGGCTGTGCCCCCACGGAAACTCCCTCTGGAGACAGTTGACTCTGTCGGATCTAGCCCCAGATGACGAGCAGCCAACATAACTCCTCCAACCACACATTTTCCAATTCCCAGCTACGGGGACAGGTGACCCAAGAAACTTTTTGCATCACCAGTGCCTGCAGTTTGATGCATATGGATGGGCAGTGCCTCAAAATGCAACAATTAAATAAACGAATGGCGAATGCAGGAGAATAACAGAGCCTTTAGCGAGGGCAAAGCGGAGAAAAATAGGGATGAGTCAGAGGGGAAAAGTGCACAGGCTGGAGCTGGGAAACCATTGAACTTTGAGGGCTGTGTTTTTGAGCCTTGCCCAATTTTGGCCATGCTGGCACGGGCTGCCCCGGTACCTGACTTGAGAGCAGCGTAACTGCGGGCACCGAGCCTCATCCCGAGATCCAGCCAGGCTGTGGGATAGGCAGCAGGAAACTCACACCCTCTGATTTAGCAAAAGAAAAAACAAAAAAACAACCCAAAAAACCTTTCACAAACACGATGCTCCGAGCCAGTTTGGCAGAACCGAGGACAAAGTGTCTGTGCCCAGGTCCAACAAAAACCACCGTGTGCGCTGGTTCCCACAAACCCGTCACTTTGTCCTTTTGTCCCATGCTCGGGATAACCAACGGGTTATCCCTAGCCCTGTGCCACTTATTTATACCTGAGAAACAACATCCCTCTTGGCTTCCCTGCCTCTCACCCCAGCAATAAATTATTCCCTTTCAGAAACTGACAAAGACACATTTAAGAAAGGAAGGAAAAAAAAAAAACTTGGGAGTGGACTGGAGT